TTCAAGAAATACAAAGCGGAATTCCGGAATTTCTGCACATCCGGAATCGCTACGAAATGTAGGAATTTCTGGTCATTCCTGCATATTCCGGAATTACAAATATCTCATCGATGGCTAAGTTATCATTTATCGGGCTTGAATAAACGTAAAGCGGAATTCCCGAATACCGCTTTGCGTTTATTCTAGCTCGATAAATGATCATTTAGCCATCCATGAGGTATGTGCAATTCCGGAATATGCAGGAATGACCAGGAATTCCTGCATTTCCTACTGATTGCGGATGTGCAGAAATTCCCGAATTCCGCTTTGCGTTTATTCAAGCTCGATATATGATCAGTTAGCCATCCATGAGATATTTGTAATCCCGGAATATGCAGGAATGACCAGGAATTCCTGCATTTCCTACTGATTCCGGATGTGCAGAAATTCCCGAATTCCGCTTTGCATTTATTCAAGCTCGATATATGATCATTTAGCCATCCATGAGGTATGTGCAATTCCGGAACATGGAGGAATGACCAGGAATTCCTGCATTTCCTAGTGATTCCGGATGTGCACCAATTCCGGAATTCCGCTTTGCATTTATTCAAGCTCGATAAATGATCAGCTAGCCATCGGTGACGTACGTGTAATTCCGGAATCACTAGAAAATGCAGGAATTCCTGGTCATTCGGGCCTATTCCGGAATTACAAATACCTCATGGATGGCTAAGTGAACATTTGTGGAGCTTGAATAAATGGAAAGCGGAATTCCGGAATTTTGTACATATCCGGAATGTCTAGGAAATGCAGGAATTCCTGGTAATTCTATACCCATGGAATTCCGGGATTCTAAACCTGAATTGCATGTGAATTTCCGTAGCAAGGTTTAGTTGAACATGAATAGCTGAACCTATGCAGGAATTGGCAGGAATTCTTGTCATTCCTCATCCATGCAATTCCGAAATTCTAATACGGAATTGCATCTTTGTTTCTATAACAATGTGCAGTTGAACATGAGTACATCAGTCTATGCAGGAATTGGCAGGAATTGCACAAAATTCGATGGCATGGGTAGGAATTGGTATGCAGGAATTCCGGAATTGAATGATGATGAGTTTGATGGCCCTATACGATGCAGGAATGTGTAACTTTGGGGAATAGGATGACTGCTCTGCGGAACAAGCTTTTCTATGTCCCGAATCCCGTTTGTCTCGCAAAAGGGAAACAATAAAGATATGGTTTTGTCCAATAGCAATACGTCTATTTTATACGATCAATCGAAACAATTTATTCATCGCTATGATTGTGAGACGATTTATGAATTTCTGATAAGTATTATTGACTACACAATATCGATCAGAAAAAACGTTCAGAGTACAGATAAAATTTAAAGTTTGCTATTTGTCGAGCGAAATATCCGAACTTCAAATATTAAAAAGTATTTATCTACCTGTAGCGAAGTTAAGAAAAAAAAATTCATATAAAGTATAACTGCAATTTTAATACACTCGCTCTCATCCATACACTAATTGATCGGTGAAGTGCGTTAACCAAATAAGACGATGTGCTTAAATAGCATTAGAGATAAAATAACTGATACAGAGAATGATAATAGACAGATATTAAAGCATCTCGTGGCTTATTTTTTTTTGTGTTTTTCTTTGACACTTTTTATTTAAATACTAAAATGTTTGTGAAAAATACGAAATTTAAAGTTTACAATGGATTTCGACATACAAACTCAAAAATTTCGGGATTCTGGAATGTCCCGCAGGACTTTAGTATTTCTGGTATCAAGTAATACGACGAAATACGATCGTTTACGACTGTTGTAATGCTCGTTCTAGGAGTTGATATTGTGCAATACACTAGACCAATCAGATGCCTCCTCTATGCAGGTCTCGTGCAATCAGGTTCTTTGGGACTGAGAGTTCAGCCAATCATATGATTTCTGTCTCCCACTTTCATCTAATCAGAATTTGAGGTTGTGCGTATATATGCTCGCTAGCACGCATCTAGTCACGTGTATCGATATATTGATTTCCGTATACGTTGTCTACCTCATCAAGGGTTTTCGGAACTGCGCACAGGCTAGATGAATAGCTTTCATTTTTCAACAGGTATAAGCAATCTACTCAAGCCTCTGAGTCAATTTTTAAGGTACTCCTGAGAAAAAATTACTTTTTTTATTTTATATTTTTGATAAAAACACATTTGTTTGCGGTTTTCTAGAAATTCCCGAGGTGAATCTCTCCCGATCCGATTCCGTCGTCCTTAAATAATTCCGACTGAATCCGATCCAAAAATTGTCCGATTCTGACGATATCCCGACTGGAATCCGGCCGTCGGATCGCTTGTAGTGGATGATTAGAACGAATTCAAATAAGATTTTTAGGTAATGGGAAAATATATGCCTCGAAGTGTTTTCATATCCTCTCCTCAAAGTGAAATCCATAACTGTCTGTCTTATTTCTATGTAAGCTTATTCATGACCCGGAACATGTGATCCGACGGTCGAATTCCGGTCCGAATATCGTCGAAATTCGACAAAATTCATTAAAAAACGATAGGATTCGGCCACATTTTCAGCGGAACACGAAAGGATCCGATAGCTGGGATCCGATTGATAGGAATTCGATAATTTTTGGACTGGATCCAGTCGGAATTATTTAAGGACAACGGGATGGACAGGGAGTGATTCGCATGGGTTCTTTTAAATTGGAAAACAAAAACATATGTCAAACGAGTATTCGGTAGATTTTTCACACTCCTAAACCGATATGGATTCATTTGATCAGCGTCTTTTGTCGATGATTATTCCATCAGCAAGATATTATTCATAATCTCAACCATTAATTAATTAATCTATTATTAAAAAGTGCATGTACTACTCTTTCTCTTATATATCAATTCATACACTTAGTACCATTAGTTATTTTTCTTTAAAATTAAGAATTTAATTGTTAATTTTTTCTAATCTATCATGATAAAACTTGACAAAAGTTAATTATGATACGAAATTGTACTCGATGAATATTAAATAAACTTTCAATGGTTTTCTTTAATTCTACTTAATTATTGAATTCACTTACATTTTACTTTTTTGGATTTAGAAGACTTGAGAATATTTCTTTTTCTGAGATTTTATCGCTTCTATAGAATTTAAACGAACGTTTGAGAAAAGAGTATCACATTCAGAAAATGATTTCTAAACAATAATCTCAGAGCGTCTATCAATCATACATATTAGTTTCAAATTTTGCAATATTCTCGTTGAATTTTTGTTCTATCTTAAAAGTTTTTCGAATTGTTATGGAATATAAAAAGTTTTTCATTCAAAATTTTTTGTTTTTCAAATTTTATTCTGCAATCATAAATTAATCGAATATAATCAACAATAAACAAAAGAATAAATTAAATTTCTTTTTTCAGATATTTTCTCTATTTTATTCAAAATTCTCAATCAATAATTTATTTTTAAAAGTAAAAAATTTCTTGAAATTGAAATAAAAAAATATCAATATAAATTTTATTTTATTAATTTAGATATTGATCTTAACAAAACATGCCTAAAGCAAAAGCAAAAGCAACCACTATAGAAAACGATTCAGATAATCCAAATGACGATGATGATAATGAAAATGATGATGATGATGATGACGATGATTCATTCAATGCTTTACCAACTGGAGTTTTAAAACGTTTACAAGTTATGAAATCAGATAATGAACATTTTAAAAAAGAAAAAAAACGTCTCGAAGGTAAAAAGACCGAGACAAAAACTGTTCGAGAAGCCATCGAACAGGAAGGAGATGATATGTTGAACAAAAGCGACGAATTGATCAAGAAAATAGAAGATCAAGCTAAAGTAATACAAACAATGGAAGAAGAAAAAACGAAAATGTATGCAAAACAATTAGACAAACTTAAAAATGCTGCTGAAGAAGAAACGAATTTAAGAGATCATCCAGAAAAAATCGCCGATTTACAACGTGAACTTCGTTTACGTGAAAAACAACAAGAAGATCTCAATAAAGAACAAGGAAAAATTGCCGAAGAAATGCGCAAAGTTCAAGCAGCTCAGGCTGAATTACAAATTCAAGTCGATAAAATCAAAGAAGAACTTATAGAAAACGAAAGACTTCTTACTGAAGCATTAACTGAACGAGAAAGATGGCAAGCAAAAATTGAAGAACAACAAGCATTGATCGATAGTATTGAACAACAGATAAAAGAAAATGAAAAAGCACTTGAAGAACTAAATCAACAACAACGTGAACTTGAAATTAAACAAAAAGATTTAATAAAACATATTGATCAACTAAATGCAAATATAACAAAATTAGAAGCTATTCTTAAAGATGAAGAAGCTCGAGTTGCTCGTCTTGAGAAAGAAGTGGAAGAAACAGAATTAAAAATTAAAGATTTAGAAAAAGAACTTGAGCAAATACGTGAAAAAATTCAAATTGTTAATGAAAAAATTGATAAAATAACAAAAGAAATTGATCTTAGTGAACGAAAATACGAAGAACTTGAACGAGAAAAACATGGACTTGAAGTACAAAAACGTGAAAATGAAAAAAAACTTAAAGATCTTGAAGATGAACGAACAGATCGAAATAATCAATTAAATCGACTTCAACAAAAATTAGTTGCAACTGAAGATTTATTTAATCGTGTTGATATTAAAATAAAACAACTTGAAAGTTTACGTGAACAACAATCAGCTGATGTTGAATCACTTGAAAGTGAAAAAAATCGTTTAGAAGAACAAAAAATGAAACAAACTGATGAAGCTAATGCAATACGTGACCAAAAAGAAACTGCTATTCAAGAACGGCAAACAACTGAAACTGAACATAAAGAAGCTGAAAAAGCTTTAGCTAACGCTAAACAAAGAGAACGTGAATTAAAAAATCAATATGAAAAAGCAGTTAATGATGAAAATCGAATAAAAGCACAACTGTCACGAGCTGTTCTGGAAGAAAATACAGCTAAAAGTGAAATGCAAGCAGCACATGCAAAAATGAAACGAGCAGAACCTATGGAAACAATGTGGAATTTAGTCGGTGCAGTTTTACCGAGTTTAGGTGGTTTTGCTCAAAGTGAAGCACAAAAAGCAAGTAGAGCTCGTGCTGAATATGATAGAGCACGTGAAAAATATGAAAAAAAACAAGAAAAAGTAAGTGAACTTCGAGATAAATATGCTACTGCTCAAGCACATACAAAAGATGCTGCTAATTTGCATAATGCAGCAAAACAAGAATCGGCAAGACAACAAACAAATGCTCAAACTAATTTTGGAAAGTTTAATGTATGTAAAGCAAAAGCAGAACGTTTAATTGAAGAACATCGAAGCGCTGTTCGAAAACAACAAGCTACTGAAACAAGCTTTCGTATGATTACAATTCAATTACAAAAAGCTCAAGCACAACTTGCTTCAACTACAACTGAAATTGGACGTTATGAACAAGAAAAAGCAACACATACAACTCAAATTAATGAAATTAAATCAAATATTGATGATAAAAAAGAAGATATTCAAAGACATAAAAGAACAATTGATGCTCATCGATTAGTTATGGATGAAAATAAAAATGCTTTATTGGATAAAGATCTTGAATGTCAACAAGAAAAAGTTAAATTACAACTTCTTAAAGGTATATATTAATTTCATTTTAAAGAATAATGTTAGAATTTTTTTTATTCAAATTAATTTAATGATTTCGGAAAAAAAATTTAAACAAAGATTTCTTCTTGAGAATGAAATAGGAATAGACAAACTCTAGAAACATATTTCTAAAGATGACAATTTTCTTTTTTTTTCGATTAAATATATAAGTTCTTCTGCATTGTTTTGTATCTCAGTTTCTTTTACTCGATCTAAAACTTTTATCGAAATTAATAACATACATATGCATCAACTATTAAATTTTAATTGACTTAATCGATATGATTTTTAATATGTTTAATTAAAACAAAAAGATTAATATTAACAGAACCAATACAAAGTATCTTTATCTATTATATTCGAAGAATTGAACTTTTTAAATGTTTTTGTTACAATGATAAAACGGTTTTAATTACTTAGAGTATACCAAAAATTCTTATCACAGTGATTTCCTTACCCCTCACTCAGACCGCAACCAGAACTTTTGGTCAGTCTTAAGTACATTCTGATAGCGCTCGATATTCTCTATCTTCCTATATATTTGTCTATCGTTCTCCATTTATCTATTAAAAAAATAACTTGAGTGTAATGAAGCCACCCTCAACTGACAAGCATGCCTGCATGATACTCAAATTATTCTTCAGCACCTAAATACAAGATAAGATAAGACTATACTGGATGATAGAGCAGTTGAAGCTCTATTAGAATGTATAATTACTTTTGCAAAAGTTTATTTCCATATTATCTATAATCTGAAAAGGCATAAACAGCAACGAATTTTCGTACTTGTCAATCGAGGGTATTTTCATTGTACTA